TTTTTGCTAATTCATTTTGGGCTTCTCCAAAGCGACTCGGACATGAACTATCGATAACAAATACAAGAGCTATAAATTACCTTTTATTCATTCCAGAATGAAATAATACTCATATAACATACCACTCATATCATCAAAAAAAAAAAAAAAAAATTTTATTGTAATGTCAAAAATTACAGGAAGAAAAGTTTCAATAAATAGCAATTTCTCTACCATCCTTTTTTTCATTTCAAAAGATAAGAATAACAGGTAAGCAAGTAAAACTTTTTTTTTTTAAAAAAAAAAAAAAAAAACAAAAATAATAAAATTATAGTTCTTTGTGTATTTTTTGATATGCAGAATATACTTTTATATTGATCAAATAATTTTAAGTTCACTAGAAAAAAATGAAAGTTCTACTTCTATAAACTGAAAAAGGTACCAATACTATCTAGAATAATCACTATAATTCCTTGTGATTAGCAACTTAAACAAACATCTTTGTATTGTTAGAAAAAATTTTCCAAATAATTACGATAATATGGTTAAAAAAACGTATAGGTCAAGCAATTAAATGACTAAAACAGTTATCTCTACTTTCCAAACATTCGTATTCTTGATGCTACGTTTTTTTTTTCTTTTCAAATTCTGCCTAAAAAATTTAATTTTATAACAAACCTTGAGTATTCATAAAATAATGTTTCCAAAGACGACGCAACTTCGGTACACCACCAACATCCCACATTGTAAGTTTGAAATTCTTATATTGTATAGTTTCTACGTTAAATCCAACTGTTGTTGTCGATTGCCTACATTCATCACTCTGAAAAAGGGAAAAAAAGTTTACTTCATTTTTTTTTCACATGAAACTCAATTAAATGAAAGAATATACATCTAGCTTAAAGTAACACAATGTTTGTTTGCCTTTAATTTATAAAGTATTGTTGTTTTTCCAGCTCCATCCAAACCAAGAATAACCAAACGAATGTCAACATTTGAACCCATATGAATTCGATTATCAGCTGTAAATGAAAACGGAATTCTCGTATCCAGCGAAAGTCCACCTTAAATGGAAATAATCAAAGGAGAGAATTCAAAATTTTTCCTAATTTAAATTCAATTCAAAAAAATAACTTGAAACTAATCACCCATACAACTCATAATTCACTACAACAAATCCAAAAAACTAATAAATTAAAAGCTGATAAATCGCTTTATAAAGAGTCCCCTTTTTAGGTTATCGATAATCAACCATGCAACAAATATCTGTATTTAATATTTACTTGGAGCAGAGGCAATATCACTTTGATGAGTACGTACAGCATCGAGCATTTTAATAAGATCAGCTTGTTGTTCAATCAGTCGAGCATCATCCATTTCTGAGCTTTCTTGCAACTGTGCTGATACTGCTGTAACCTAAACGTAATCTTTTGTAACCTTTTTTTTATTTTTTTATTTTTGTTTTGCACTATTCTTATAAAAAATGGCAATTTTAAGGATGAACAAAGCTTCACTGCAACATTTTCAATTTCAACTTACTTATACAATTGACTTAACTGGTAAAATATAAGATGAACAAACAAATGAAACTTCACTGAAACATCAAGAAAAAAAAAAAAAAAAAAAAACTGTAGGAACAACCTAATAATATTATTATTAACTCAATAGAACTATTATGTATAATCCAATTCTCGTTTCTTTATGTTCCGGCTTCATTCATTTCTCTTGCTATCAATCGAATAAACAAACCTGTGAAGTAATGAAAGCTAGCTCCTGCTGATGCTGTCGGAGAGCTTCAATTCGATCAGCAACATGTGCATCCAATCGTGCCATAGCTGTCTGCTCTTGAAGCTCAAGTTCTTCACGCAATCGTCGGAAATGAGCTTCAACTTGTCGTCGTGCAGTCATATGAGACCCTTCATTCATTTCCATTATCTCAGCTACTGTCCTAAAGACAGTAATTGATATTGCTAAGTTACAATTTCATATCTAGCAGAATTATACTATCATTATTTAATCTTCTCTAAATTATTTATTATCATTGCTTTAAAAGTTTAAAAATTCAGTTATTCACAAATAAAACTCAACGATAAATAAATTACATCTAATGAGAACTCACTGTGTCACTCGAATATTCCATCCATTGAGATCACTAATAAAACTTCGGAAATCTGAAAGAGCTTCACGAACTCGTTCTCTTAATTCAGCAGCTTCAACTTCTAGAAGAGAATGTCGATGATTCCGATGACGTCCATAATCACGACATAACAAACACATCAAACGATTATTTTCCAAACACTCCACTTCCTGCAAATTTCTCGATTTATATGGTATGTGATAACCTTAATTATTTGCAATCATTGTAAACATATACACATACGTATACATTTGTTTGTAATAAAAATATCAAGCTATTTTTACTACATATTTACCATATACAATAATATTGATATTATTTCATGAACTCTTAATAAATTCTTAATAATTCATAATAAGCATAGGCTTATTAGCATGACTCATATGTGTTATCAAATTGATAGAAGTATCTTTCTTTACAGTTAATCATTAAAAAAAACGAAGCAACCTGACAAACGAATTCGATTGCATATGCTGAATGATACGGACACATTGTTCGGGAAAGTGGTTTTTCACTTACGGGTACACGACAATGTTTCGAAAGTACCCGTCCTGTATGTGTTTTTCTCGAACACTCACCACACATATTACTTTCGCAAACTATGCAATAAAATATAGCAGTATGCTTCGGATCCTCATCACATGGTATACCCAGTAAGATATCTTTCATATATTCCGGCGGTGGTACTTCATCTACCTAAAAAGTTTAGATATTAAAATATAAGTGAAATAGGGAGAAAAAGTAGGAAATCAAATTTAAAAATGTAGTTTTCCTTAATTTATGAAATCAAAATATGCTTCAAACACTGAGCGAAGTTGATTTCATCTTATTCAAAAGGTATATATATATATACCTTTTGAATAAGATGAGATTAATTTTTCTGTTTTTACAATAGATATGTCATTTTCCATCAGTTATCAAATATGCTTATTACTGCTAATTAAGCTTGTTCAGGTAAACTATTTAATTTAAATTAACACCAAGTATTTAAAGTATTATCCGGTTGGCTCCAATTAAGTAGATGTCATGGGTATACATTTTGAGTGAAGCTAACTATATTAATTGGATGAGCTGTACCAATTTATTACCATATCATCAAGAAATAAAGATGAAGAAAATTTTCCAGAAAAAAATTAACATATAACCACATCTTTTCAAATATTTAATGGATTTATAGTATATTCAAAACTTACAAGCAATGGTGAAATTCGGCCTGCAAATTTCTTATGCCGTTCAATTATTTCAATAAGCGCAAAATTTTTTTTCAACGAAAGCACACACGGTTCAGCAAGCAATGTAACTGTTCGATCAAACGGGCAAATAACTTGGGCAATAGGTGCACTAACATCTACTAAAGCTGAACAGCACATTTGGCAAACCTGAAATAATTATTCTAAAAAAAAGGAATCAAAAAGTAACTAAAAAATAAAAGTTTCTAAATGTCCACTTTGAAAAATGGCTAAAATAATGTAGTATTAATACAAAAAAACATTTTAAGTAAATCATTAACTGCAGCAGAAATAGTGATTAACTGTTAACTTATTTGCTGCAAATATAACATAAGAAAAATTAAAATCTCTCTTATAATATGAAAAACGGTAAAAATATTATCGTTTAAGTGAACTATCATCACTAATTTATGTAAAATGATTACATTAATTTGTGTATTAAAACTATATTTCAATGTTACAGTTTCATACAAAGTATAACGGAAGAATTACGCAAATACCTATTGATCAATTTGCATTCATCAACAAATAATAATGAAAAAAATATTTTCTTCTCCAAATTCGTCTCTAAATAAGCTTCAAATTTTGATAAAATCTCGAATAAATTTGCAAAATTTAGTTGAAAAATTAGTAAATTTAAATCATTACCGTATGACCACATCCGTGTAGTACACGTGGCGTTCGAATTTCTGACGCATAACTTTCATGACATAGAGCACACTCTAATCCAGTATCTGAGATACTACTCATTTTTTGCAGCAAAATACGAAACAAACATGATTTCAAATCATACACCCATTGTTATCTGAAAAATTAAAATAAATAGATGGATTAAAATAATTCTCAAATTTCAAAAGCTATTTTCAAATGAATTAATGTGATGTATTCAAAAAAAGAAAACAAAAAAAAACCATCGAATTGTTTTCTCATTTTTCTGCTAATCACCAATGAATAAATTCGCTACAATTTTCACATGTTGTTTAAAACCAAAAATATAATCTCATTTGTATGTTTTAATCATTTAGATGTGAATAATTATGAGAATTTGGTTATGAGATACAAGGTATTACACCTTGCTAGTATAGCACTCAATCTGATCAAAGAGAAACAAAAGGAAGAGAACTACTACTTTATTTTTACTATGATTTTTTTTTTTTTGAAAAATTTCACTGCAAACCAGGAAGTAGCAGTGATTCACTCTCTCTCTTCAATTTAAAATGTGCTCAAAACAATGATTAAATAAAAAATTGTACTTTTAGCGATCAGTGAAGTTAACAGAAAAATTTAGTGGAATTGACGTTCATTTTGAATATGATATCTAGTATATCAGGTGCGATCAAATTATCAGAAGAAACAATCAACAATTTAAAAGGTCAAAGTTACACCCAGCAATTTCAAAAGTCATTCTTCTAAGTGAAAAAAAAAAAGAAAACTGCCGATCAGTAAGAACAGAAATGACGAATGCACATTTTTCAAACACTGCAGAAAGTCTGTTTGGAGAAAAAAAATAAGTTGAGACAAGATTTAAAAAATCAAATTTATTGCAAGAAGAAAACCAATAATAACAGAATATTACAAACATATAATCAACTTCTTACAAGAAGCTTTCAATCCTATTTGTCACCAAAAATTGTTCGACACATATGAATCTAACATCAGTCATCCCTAAACATACTTCTAAATCGACGCTCAAGAATCTTTTCATGAAGTATTCTATGGTTTGTCATTTGTTTCCTTCTTTTCGAGGGCCATGTTTTCACCGCATTTACATCATTAGCCTAAAAATTCAAATCACTGATAAATAAACTGAGCAAAAAAAAAAAAAGAAAAAAAAATTGTTCGGATAATAACATATTAACAAAAGACAAACTTTAATTTCACTTTGTTTTTACTACACATTTAAATCTATTCTTTAATCTTAGCTGTAAAGAATGAAATAAACATCAATTCCAAGGAAAACTTTTTTTTAAAAAAAGAGAGAGACTGAGAATTAAGAAATGTACATACCTTGAAATGAGTCACTTTAGGTGTATCAGCTGTAGCACAACCCAAACCAAGCTTATCTCTCTTCAACACTGTTTTTATCGGATATCGCCGACCAGTTGCATTACGACCTAATCCTTCAAATTCATCCCAGCCATTCTTCCGTAAAATACGATAACCTTTATTCCATTCTGGAATTCCATAGCCCGGATCAAGCACCGGTTTTCGGGTTTCCAAAAGATGTGCTATACCGCTTAAATGAGCTTCTCCTACATAAGTACACTGACAGGCATCACAAAAACGTGTAACATCCATAGCTTTTCTAGATCTTTTTATCTTTCGCAGAGATGGTTCGAACCGTATCCTAGAATTTCCAAAGCACTAAAAAAAAATTTCTTATAAAGCAGTCTGCTGGTCTACAAATAATAGCTAATTCGATAATATTCATGAACAAAACACAACAATAATTTCATACAAAATCTTTTTCTAGCAATATCAACTATTTGATATTCTGTTAAGGATATAACATTCGACAACATAAAACAACAACATAAAAAACACACCCGAATTGTTCCTTTTCATGTGAAGTAATATATCGGTATATTTCATGATGTCCAGATTTCAGTGCAAAGTCTGCAGCTGTTTCACCTGATTTGCTGCTGTATTATACGTTCTGTTACAGAATTTTGTTGAAATTTTATAATTCACTTAAAAAGAGATTCTACTACGAACACAAAATTCAAACACATAATAGTTCTTTCGAGTAAAAAATTGGAATATAAAAGAAAGCTTTTTCAGTTTTTATATAAGAATTTTATATTTCAGTTTATATAAAGTTTTTATATAAGATAACATTAAAGTTATATAAGAAGATTTCACTGCTGAAAACCTAACTATTATTTAGCACAGAATTGTCTTAATCAATGGTATCACATATATTTTATCGTCGTTAATTTTGGTGTTTCAACTGAGCAAATGAATTAAACATAATTGTTTGTAAGTTACTTTTATTAAATCATGTTTCATTTGAATGACTCGATGGTAACTGCTAAGGTAAGTAAATCAAATAAGACTTGTCTGGTGTATGACATGCTGGATGACTATATTAAAATGAATCTTATAGGATGAATGGATTTTAAATGACCAGTAAGTCTTATGGAAATGAAAAAAGCACTAATATACTAACCGCTTTGAAATATTCACTCCTACCGATAACAAATATTTAACAATATGCAAATGACCTGCATAACTTGCACACATCAATGCAGTCCAACCATATTGATCTGATACATTGGTATCCATTCCTGTAGTTTTCACGTCATTTTTCATTATTGACATTGACTATTTTTAGTTTGAAATATTTAAGCATATTTCTATAACTTCTGACGGCTACAAGGAAGAAAGCTTTTTGTTACCATAAAAAATTCAGAAGAAATATTCATTAATATTGGAAGCAAATCATCTATATCAAAAGTCTAGGATTTTTTTTGAAGTTCAATTTTTTTCATTTTTCATTTTTCACTGATCTTTTCCAGTTGCACAGTCATCCGGGTATCCGGAACTATTGAAATAGACGGTTCAGATAACAACTAATATAACAAATATATCTTTATTTTTATTATGATAAGTATATTTTTTCCTATTATAACAAAAATAAAAATGAAAGAAAAATAAATGAAAAAAAGAAACTATTATAATAAATATACCTTTTTTACAATAATAATCCATAACACCTTGTAAATTCCCATCTGCAGCATCCTTAAAAAGTGACTCGAAGTTTACACTAACACTATCCTGTTTCTTCGAGATATCATTTAATAGCTTTGTTGACTTTCGGGAACGTTTACTGGTCCTTTCCAGTTGTGCAGTCATCCGGATGTCCGGAACTGTTGAAGTAGACGGTTCAGCTAGCAAAGTTTCGTAGAATGATCGTGCCTCCTCGCCGCAAGTGGTTGGCTTCGAAGAGTTTTCCGGTATAGAAGCTTGTACATTAGTAACTGGATTTGCCCTAATAAATCGGATTTGTTTATATTTTTCGATCGTTGAGACATTTCCTGACGAATCCATACCAAAAGTTCTGACAAAAAAAGCTTGAAATTACGAGGAAAAAAAAAACTAATAAATTAACGAAATTTCGAGGAAAAAAAAACTAATAAATTAACGAAATGAGTTATATCCGAAATTTTCTGTAGAAGAAATAATTGCAGTTGTTTGCTTTTCTAACAAACTGAAGTAAAAAACAAAACAAACAAGAAAAAAAAACTAAATTGTTGATTATTGCAACGGTAGAATGAATTCAACTAATACAATGAAAAATAGTGTATGGAATCAAGTATAAATAATTAATATTGAGCTTTTATCAAACTACCAAATAGCATACAAAGTTATAGGAAATAAAACAATAGACAATGAAACCTGCAAAGTTACGATAATAATTTATGATGATGATGATGATATAATGATAATGGAACATACTGATGTAATGATAATTCATGATATAATGATAATGTGAATATGATAATATATTGATATTTTGTAATGATAGAATGATAATGGACTATGCTGATATAATGATGATATGAATATGATAATATATTGATATTTTGTAATGATAGAATGATAATGGACTATGCTGATATAATGATGATATGAATATGATAATATATTGATATTTTGTAATGATAGAATGATAATGGACTATGCTGATATAATGATGATATGAATATGATAATATATTGATATTTTGTAATGATAGAATGATAATGGACTATGCTGATATAATGATGATATGAATATGATAATATATTGATATTTTGTAATGATAGAATGATAATGGACTATGCTGATATAATGATGATATGAATATGATAATATATTGATATTTTGTAATGATAGAATGATAATGGACTATGCTGATATAATGATGATATGAATATGATAATATATTGATATTTTGTAATGATAGAATGATAATGGACTATGCTGATATAATGATGATATGAATATGATAATATATTGATATTTTGTAATGATAGAATGATAATGGACTATGCTGATATAATGATGATATGAATATGATAATATATTGATATTTTGTAATGATAGAATGATAATGGACTATGCTGATATAATGATGATATGAATATGATAATATATTGATATTTTGTAATGATAGAATGATAATGGACTATGCTGATATAATGATGATATGAATATGATAATATATTGATATTTTGTAATGATAGAATGATAATGGACTATGCTGATATAATGATGATATGAATATGATAATATATTGATATTTTGTAATGATAGAATGATAATGGACTATGCTGATATAATGATGATATGAATATGATAATATATTGATATTTTGTAATGATAGAATGATAATGGACTATGCTGATATAATGATGATATGAATATGATAATATATTGATATTTTGTAATGATAGAATGATAATGGACTATGCTGATATAATGATGATATGAATATGATAATATATTGATATTTTGTAATGATAGAATGATAATGGACTATGCTGATATAATGATGATATGAATATGATAATATATTGATATTTTGTAATGATAGAATGATAATGGACTATGCTGATATAATGATGATATGAATATGATAATATATTGATATTTTGTAATGATAGAATGATAATGGACTATGCTGATATAATGATGATATGAATATGATAATATATTGATATTTTGTAATGATAGAATGATAATGGACTATGCTGATATAATGATGATATGAATATGATAATATATTGATATTTTGTAATGATAGAATGATAATGGACTATGCTGATATAATGATGATATGAATATGATAATATATTGATATTTTGTAATGATAGAATGATAATGGACTATGCTGATATAATGATGATATGAATATGATAATATATTGATATTTTGTAATGATAGAATGATAATGGACTATGCTGATATAATGATGATATGAATATGATAATATATTGATATTTTGTAATGATAGAATGATAATGGACTATGCTGATATAATGATGATATGAATATGATAATATATTGATATTTTGTAATGATAGAATGATAATGGACTATGCTGATATAATGATGATATGAATATGATAATATATTGATATTTTGTAATGATAGAATGATAATGGACTATGCTGATATAATGATGATATGAATATGATAATATATTGATATTTTGTAATGATAGAATGATAATGGACTATGCTGATATAATGATGATATGAATATGATAATATATTGATATTTTGTAATGATAGAATGATAATGGACTATGCTGATATAATGATGATATGAATATGATAATATATTGATATTTTGTAATGATAGAATGATAATGGACTATGCTGATATAATGATGATATGAATATGATAATATATTGATATTTTGTAATGATAGAATGATAATGGACTATGCTGATATAATGATGATATGAATATGATAATATATTGATATTTTGTAATGATAGAATGATAATGGACTATGCTGATATAATGATGATATGAATATGATAATATATTGATATTTTGTAATGATAGAATGATAATGGACTATGCTGATATAATGATGATATGAATATGATAATATATTGATATTTTGTAATGATAGAATGATAATGGACTATGCTGATATAATGATGATATGAATATGATAATATATTGATATTTTGTAATGATAGAATGATAATGGACTATGCTGATATAATGATGATATGAATATGATAATATATTGATATTTTGTAATGATAGAATGATAATGGACTATGCTGATATAATGATGATATGAATATGATAATATATTGATATTTTGTAATGATAGAATGATAATGGACTATGCTGATATAATGATGATATGAATATGATAATATATTGATATTTTGTAATGATAGAATGATAATGGACTATGCTGATATAATGATGATATGAATATGATAATATATTGATATTTTGTAATGATAGAATGATAATGGACTATGCTGATATAATGATGATATGAATATGATAATATATTGATATTTTGTAATGATAGAATGATAATGGACTATGCTGATATAATGATGATATGAATATGATAATATATTGATATTTTGTAATGATAGAATGATAATGGACTATGCTGATATAATGATGATATGAATATGATAATATATTGATATTTTGTAATGATAGAATGATAATGGACTATGCTGATATAATGATGATATGAATATGATAATATATTGATATTTTGTAATGATAGAATGATAATGGACTATGCTGATATAATGATGATATGAATATGATAATATATTGATATTTTGTAATGATAGAATGATAATGGACTATGCTGATATAATGATGATATGAATATGATAATATATTGATATTTTGTAATGATAGAATGATAATGGACTATGCTGATATAATGATGATATGAATATGATAATATATTGATATTTTGTAATGATAGAATGATAATGGACTATGCTGATATAATGATGATATGAATATGATAATATATTGATATTTTGTAATGATAGAATGATAATGGACTATGCTGATATAATGATGATATGAATATGATAATATATTGATATTTTGTAATGATAGAATGATAATGGACTATGCTGATATAATGATGATATGAATATGATAATATATTGATATTTTGTAATGATAGAATGATAATGGACTATGCTGATATAATGATGATATGAATATGATAATATATTGATATTTTGTAATGATAGAATGATAATGGACTATGCTGATATAATGATGATATGAATATGATAATATATTGATATTTTGTAATGATAGAATGATAATGGACTATGCTGATATAATGATGATATGAATATGATAATATATTGATATTTTGTAATGATAGAATGATAATGGACTATGCTGATATAATGATGATATGAATATGATAATATATTGATATTTTGTAATGATAGAATGATAATGGACTATGCTGATATAATGATGATATGAATATGATAATATATTGATATTTTGTAATGATAGAATGATAATGGACTATGCTGATATAATGATGATATGAATATGATAATATATTGATATTTTGTAATGATAGAATGATAATGGACTATGCTGATATAATGATGATATGAATATGATAATATATTGATATTTTGTAATGATAGAATGATAATGGACTATGCTGATATAATGATGATATGAATATGATAATATATTGATATTTTGTAATGATAGAATGATAATGGACTATGCTGATATAATGATGATATGAATATGATAATATATTGATATTTTGTAATGATAGAATGATAATGGACTATGCTGATATAATGATGATATGAATATGATAATATATTGATATTTTGTAATGATAGAATGATAATGGACTATGCTGATATAATGATGATATGAATATGATAATATATTGATATTTTGTAATGATAGAATGATAATGGACTATGCTGATATAATGATGATATGAATATGATAATATATTGATATTTTGTAATGATAGAATGATAATGGACTATGCTGATATAATGATGATATGAATATGATAATATATTGATATTTTGTAATGATAGAATGATAATGGACTATGCTGATATAATGATGATATGAATATGATAATATATTGATATTTTGTAATGATAGAATGATAATGGACTATGCTGATATAATGATGATATGAATATGATAATATATTGATATTTTGTAATGATAGAATGATAATGGACTATGCTGATATAATGATGATATGAATATGATAATATATTGATATTTTGTAATGATAGAATGATAATGGAATGAAATTAAAATTAAAAACAATAAAAAAAAAAGCTATTTTTATTGATGAACAATGGAAAGAAATACGCCGCAAATAAATTATGCATTAATTATTCCGCTTGATATCTTGTGATATCATCACTGATAGTAATATAACACACACACATACACATACACACATACACAGACAGACAGACATACACACGGCATGAAACGATTAGCCCATGATGAAAACGATCGTCCCTGAATTAACAATAACTTCGTTGATATGAGCATTCATTCGATATTATTTCAATGTATTCAGATAGTTTTCACATACATCAAAGGAAAAACTTTTTGGATAAATTAATTTTTATGCATATTCAATTATCTATAAAAAAAAATAATTTTTTCTCTGTTTCAATGCTATCAATTAATTCTTCCAGAAATAAATTTATTAATTCTGAATAATATCTAGATTTTTTTTTCCTCTTTAATCATTTTTGCTGTGTAAAATTTCATTTTTAGTTTTCAAAAAAAAAAAAAAAAAAAGTAAAAACAAAAATTTTGTTTAGGAAATCTTTTGAATGTTCAAATTGTTAACTGTAATGGAATTTATATCATTAATTAACGAAATGAATAACAGTTAGATTTTACTGTCATTAATAATAATTCTTTTATTAATTCTGAATAATATTTATTAATAATAGTTTTATGAAATAAATATACATCAAAATTTTTTGTATTTATTTTTGAAAAAAGCAATTTGATTGATTGATTTATTGTATGTATTAGAAATAATTAATTTCTTAGTGCACTGCAACTGTATTTAGATATCGATCAAACTTTTCAACTGCATTTATTGTATATATTACTTTACTATAATAATAAAAATCTAATATTTTACAAAAGTTAAAAAAACAAAACTGAGAAGTTAGCTTAATTCTAATTGTAAATAATTCTAAACTTTTGAAATTATTATAAGAAATGATGTGAAAAATTTTTGAATTCATGAAGTGAAGTGGAAAATTTTTTGAAAAAGTTAAACTTTATAAAATGTATGTATTTTTAAATGTTTCACGAATTTAAATGTTTTATAAACTTTTATGAAGTTTTTCTTTTTTTTTTTTCTAATGACATTAAAATGAAATTTTATTTTGAAACAATTCGATTGATTTGCTGCGAACATATGAAATAATTAATTTTTCTTGACGAATAAAATTCATAGTAAACTTTATTGGTTGTAAAATGTCTACTAAATGATATTAAACACAATTTGATGACATCAAAATTTTGGCCTAGCAAAAAGAAAAAAAAATAAACACAAATAATTAGCTCAGTATAATTAATAATAATCTTATCTCAAAAAGATTGACCAATGATCGTTGAATTTATTAATTTATTGTTGTATAAGTAAAATATGCCGTCAAATGCACAATTATTAAATGAATTAAAATAAATAATTAATTGGGTTGTCATGGTAAAGCTAATTTATTAGTCGATCATATAATCGCAAACGATGTTGTTTAGAGTTTGATAGTAATGTTAAACTATATCTGTAAATAAATCTAATAGTAATTTCAACAGGTGGTTGAATAAGTAAACTGAATAAGTAATATCTAGTTGATAACATAATTCATTTTGAACTTAATCCTTTGTGGTATAATAATTTGAAAATTTGAAAATTAACTATTACTCAGTTTTACACTTTTTTTTTCACAAAAACTTATCATTCATTTTTTTGATCATATCAAAATTTACTAAAATACATGTAAATACAAATTTTCTTAATTTCAATTATTAATTATAATCAATGAATCATATTTAAGTTTAAGTAATTGTTGAGTGATATAAAATTAGTTTTTAAAAAAAATTTGACAAAAAAAAAAAAAAAAAAAAATGAAGGAAATTGCAATTAACGAATAAATGTGAATCAATGGTTGGTAACAAACTAATACCTCCCACATATTATTTAGAAAAAAGTATACGGTAGATAAATAAACACAATGAATTTTTCTTTTCTTTCTAGGTGGTTTGTTTTCTAAAATTTTAAAATAATTATAAAAATTTTTTATGCAAATTTTTGTTTGATAATTTCAGATTAAATAATAAAATGGTTATATTGATACCAATTATACCATGTGTATGCATTTTTCTACTATGCCTTTTAACTGGATTTATTGGCAATACTGCGCTTATTGTAGCTACTATTCAAAACAAGTACGTCATTGACTGATTAAATGATTGATTGATTGATTAACTGATCGATTGATTGATTGATTGATTGATCACTTATAATTATTTTATCAATATACTCGATTAACAGTATCATCATTGATGACTGTATTGCTCTCAATTTTTAAACATTATTTAATGAAAAGGAAAAAAGAGATGTAAAGTTGCTTTTCATTATTGCATTTGATTTACATAAAATTGGCTAAGATCAAAATAAGGAATTTAAAAGGTTCAGTGAATGTTTCAGAGAAGAAACAGAGGGAAAATAGAAATTGAAAAGGAAAGTTTCATCAATTTGCTTATATAATTTCATGTGAATTTGAAAGATTTATGATTAAATTTATGATATTTAAAATATTTTAAGTAACAAATTTTGTATCTCTTTGCGTATTCCATTTCAAAGTTAAAAAATTCAAAATTTAAAAGAAAAAAATTGCTCACTTTTAAATTTACAAAAAATTCCAGGCATCTTCACAATGTCAATAACATATTAATAGCATTGGGCGCATTTGGTGACATTCTTCATCAAATCGGCCATATTCCATTTGCATACTTTATTTTTACTGGAATCACTTCCATACCCTTATGGAAATGTATTTGGATACAGTTATTACCCAATTTTGGCATGAATTTCTCAATGATTATATTACTACCTATAGGCATAGATCGAGCCATGGCCATTTTAAGACCTTTAAAGTAAGTATTTGGGCAGTACAAGTAACTTCAATCTCTCTAGCTTACTGCTTACTGATAGATGATTACTACCTACAGGCATAGATCGAGCCATGGCCATTTTAAGACCTTTAAAGTAAGTATTTGGGCAGTACAAGTAACTTCAATCTCTCTAGCTTACTGCTTACTGATAGATGATTACTACCTACAGGCATAGATCGAGCCATGGCCATTTTAAGACCTTTAAAGTAAGTATTTGGGCAGTACAAGTAACTTCAATCTCTCTAGCTTACTGCTTACTGATAGATGATTACTACCTACAGGCATAGATCGAGCCATGGCCATTTTAAGACCTTTAAAGTAAGTATTTGGGCAGTACAAGTAACTTCAATCTCTCTAGCTTACTGCTTACTGATAGATGATTACTACCTACAGGCATAGATCGAGCCATGGCCATTTTAAGACCTTTAAAGTAAGTATTTGGGCAGTACAAGTAACTTCAATCTCTCTAGCTTACTGCTTACTGCTTACTGTGATAGTTGTGTTTCTCAAATGGCAATGCTAAATTATTTACTTTGTTGTTTTAAATTCGAATAATAGTTCTAAAGTTCAGAACTGTAATGGTTATTTGCAGATATCGAAAAATGAGTAAAATGCTTTATATTCCAATAATGACTCTACCAGCAATACTTTATGCAGTTGCTATGCTCATATTGGTTTTTATATATGATGCAAGTAACGAGTAAGATTTTTGATAGGTATTTCTCAGGTTAAGTATAATATCTCGGTTAAATATAATAATAATATTTCTCAGGTTAAATATAATATCTCGAGTAAGTATAATATCTCGGGTTAAATATAATAATAATATCTCTCAAGTTAAATATAATATCTGACCATCAAATATCTCAACAAATTTTCTTGAAGAAAATTGAAGCAAAATATTAATTCATCTTTGACTAAAAATTTTTCTGCCTGACTTTCAAGTGATTACTACAGAAACAGAAACATCCATTATGCAATAATATGAAGAAATAAGCTTTAAAAAAAAATAAAAGTTTCATTATTAAAAATAAGAAAAGAAAAAAAATTTGATATGTAAAAAATGAAAAATATTCTTAAATATTCTAAGCCATAAAGAAATATACTCAAAGTGTTGCATTTTTTTATTTTATTTTTTAAATTTTAAATTATTTTATTTGTTTATCGCATTTTGTAGTATGGAAGTAATTTGTGTTGTGGTAGCAATATACAATGGTTTATCAGATTCAGTTTGGAGTATTTCATCGACATTAATTAATTTAGCAACAATTATACTTTATGCAATACTGAGTCGTGTTATGGTGAAAGCTAAAACATGTGAGTTATTTAAATAATTAATAAATAAATATATTTAAGTAAACTATCAATTTGAATTTAATAACTACCATATGAAAAATGTCTATTCAATATCATTCGCTTTTTGCTTCTTTATTATTCAATAGCTTTTATTTCTGCATTAAAATTATATCTATGCATGAAGCATTTTATACGAATTAATTAATTATGAATAAGTTTAATGGTTGCTATAGCACTGTTTTAATTTTTAATTTTAATTTTCAGCAACTAAAAATTTCGAACTTTTGCAAACATTAAAGATTGTTGTGGCATTTATTGGACTGGGACAGCTAGCATCAACGATTATTTATTTGTCAACAATGTTTTTTGATTTTTCCGAAATGACAGCATTTTACATAGGATGTTATGCGGGAATATTTGTTAATTTAAGCATCTCATTCAATTGCTTATTTTATTATTGGAGGAGGTAAAAAAAAAAAAAAAAAAATTATTCTTATAAAATATTAAAAAAAAGAAAAAAAAGTTAAAATATTTTGCATTTGAAATATTTTATTGTATCCTTAACAATTAATACTAGTAATATTGATAAGTTTAATTTTAAGTTATTGTATCCTTAACAATTAATACTAGTAATATTGATAAGTTTAATTTTAAGTTATTGTATCCTTAACAATTAATACTAGTAATATTGATAAGTTTAATTTTAAGCTATCATTATGAAAAGTGTTTTTTGCAGTACAGAATACCGGAATGAATTTAAAAAGCAACTCAGGAAATTTCCATGCTTAAAGAATACAGTAAAATTGACACCAAAATCAACAATAAGGCGAGTGACGACAATTCATCGATAGAATTTCACAGAAAATTACTCCTGAAAATATTTTTTTTTTTTAACAATAATATCAATCTAATTTGATGATAATGATGAATCAGAGATTAATTGAAAAATGGCAATAGCAAATTACTGATTATTTCGCTTCATTAAATTAATGAAATCATCATGTAGCTTTTCATATTGATTTTGGAAGATTAGTTATAACAAAGAAAAATTTTCCAAAATAAAACCAACAATTTTAAATCAAAGGAATAAGAATGGAATTTTTTTCTTTTTTTATTTTCATAAACTATAATAATATTAAGCAATGTATATAATTCGAGAAATATTTTTATTTCTATTATAATAAAAAAATTTCAATTTTAAAATGTCAATAAACTTTGTACAAAAAAAAAAAATGATATAATGCAAAAACATAATAAATGAGATACAGAATTGTGAATCAGTATTTTTACTTGATATATGCAAGCAATAAAAATGGCTTACAGATAGGTACTGTAAAGTAAGTCAACTCAATTCCTTATTGTTCTATCTTTCTCTTTCTTCTCGTAAACAATCGCATTCTCGTAAACAACCACTAAATAACACGCTCTTTTTTGTCTTGAAATATCATAAATACGTCATACAGAATATAGTTTAGTGGTCATGCATACGTCGTAATCTCGTAAACAATCGCATTCTCGTAAACAATTGCATTATCGTAAACAACTGCTAAATAACACGCACCTTTTTTGTCTTGAAATATCATAAATACTCATAGAGGATACAGTGTTAATGCATACGTCGTAAAGTTACTACTATGAGTCGTAAGGTAATAGTTAGTGGCTATCAGATATAAAAGATTTGTCTGAGAAATTTTCTTGATTTTTAATTTGAAGATTGTACGAATGAATGTAATATGTAATGGAATTGTTATTTGCTAACCAATTACATTACATAAAATGTTAATCTATACTGATAATATAGTGATAATTTCCTAAAATTATTCTCAACAAATATGCAATTAAGAAGGAAACAATAAAATGCAAAAAATAAGTAAAGGATTTGAATAAAGAGTTGAATGGAATAGGTATGATAAGGTAAATTTAAATTTGCTGATAGCAGAAGATTGACATTGATAATAAGTTTAATTCGTTACATAGTGATAAGCAAATGATAAGTATTGGCTTACAATAAATTTCATACAAATAGTGAGTAAATTATCCTTACTATTAGATAAACTTTACTACTTACATATGTAAGAGTTAGTTTTGAACATTATGTCATTTGCTTATAAAAGTGATTGATAAAATGGAAGTATGTCGCTAAAATATGAAATTGTTGAAAGTTTGTTTGGAGATTAATTAAACAACGAACTGATAACAAAATTTTAGACTTTAAATTTGACTGTTCGATTTGAAAAAAAAATTTTAACAAAAAAAACTGGGAGCAATTTTCAATATATTAAGTAATTATAAGCATTTTTCTTAATAACAAACTGAAAAAATCTAGACAATGCGCATAAATTTGTTTTTTCTTGTAAATTTTATTGCTTAATCAACGATTGAATTGCTTTTAAATATTATAAATAATTATAAAATAAACAATTAAATACAATTTTAAATTAAAAACAATTATTATTATTTGTTTAACATTTGAATACTTAATTAGTATTTCAAAGTAATATTTGTATAACATTTGATTACTTAACTAATATTTCAAAGTAATATTTGTATAACATTTGATTACATAATTAGTACTTCAAAGTATTATTTGTATAAAATTTATTGCCATAAGTTAAGAAAAAGTTGTTTACTTGTGTGCTGCAAAGTAATGCTGAATAAAAATATAATGTGTCAAATAAGTTCAAAACAATTTTATATGATTAATTGATTTATAAATTTGTAATTGTAATAACATTTCAAAATTAGCATTCTAATAAATTTTACTGCTAAACAATAAATTTTATACAAATATTACTTTGAAAATCGAAAATGAAGTATATGAAGTAAGATTTAAATTATTTCATTTGATGCATAAATTAATAAACTAAATTTATTTTTACATAAAAAAAATACATTTATGATAACATCATATCATCACTTACTTATCAGTTGATGACTTTACTAATATTTTAAAGTAATATTTTTCTTCTAAAATTTATTGGGAACAATTAACAAAACGATATTTCTAACATAAAGAAAAATGAAAATAAGTTCATAAGTTAAAAGTTCAAAATAATGTGATAATATTAACTAATTATAAACTTGCAACTTTATTAATATAAATTAAAATTTATGTTTGTGTGTAAACTTTACTGCTTCACTTTTAAAAAAAAAATGAAATTATCATTTTATCATTTGATTAGCATTTCAAGATAATGTTTATCAAAAATTTATTGTAACATATAAAAAGTTAATGCATGGTGAAAATACAGTGCCAAGCAAGAAGTGAAATGAGTTTAAAATAATTTTATAATGCTGATAAATTTTAATTTTATAATTTTACTAATATTTCAAATTTTATAAAAGAAGTGCAATATTATGATCATTTTTCATGGATGAATTAAAAAAAAGAAATTCATTTCTGTGTTAAAAATAAATTGAAAATGATTAAGTAATAGCATTTATCATTTTATCACTTGATTATCAGCACTTCGAAATAGTATTTACATAAAAATTTGTTGTCATATTTAAGAAAATATAATATTTATACTTCAAAATAATATTTTATAAATACTAACATGAAGAAAAACTATATCCAATGAAAACATAGTGCCAAGTAAAATATCAAAATACTTTAAAATTATCACACAATGTTAATAAATTGTAGTTTGTGGCTTTATTAAACTATTAAAATTTATATTTTTATTAACTTTATTGTTTAAATAACTGCGACTGCTTTATTTGGAACATTTTGATCATTTTCAAATTAATAAATTAATAAGTAAGACTCATTTTTGTATTAAATATAATTTAATAGTTTAATTTGTATAAATAGAAAATAAGCAAACTTTATTAAACTACTAAAATTTATATTTTTATTAAATTTATATTTTTTATTTAACGTCATATGTACCACTTTCAACGTTTGTGTCGTTGGAATTGAAATATGAATCATTTTTGAAATGAAAAAGTTATAATTAAATGAAATGTTAAAATGACAAAACGAAAACTATTGTTCTTAAAGTTACACGTCTATATATATATAGATTTACGTAAATATATACGTATATAAGAAGTGATCACGCATAATACCTTAATTAAATAATACCTTCTTATTAGCGCTTCGAAATATTTTATAAAATTTATTGGCATAATTTTGAAAGGGATACTATTAGCATGAAGCAATAAAAGTGGAAATTTAAAAATGAACAGAAAATGGTTGATCACTGTTAATAATTTATAATTTTGTTAATGTAAAAATACAAAAAAAAAAGATAAAATTTTGTAAAAACTTTCATGATAACATAAAATATTATTTGTATAATAAAAAGTTATTTCTGATAGAGACAAGGTTAATGTATGTATTCATTTACACTTCAAAGTAGAACCAAATTAAAAAATGGTTGAATAACATTCAGAGATTGACAATTGCGACAAAAATGAAAGGAGGAAGAAGGGAAATATGCTAATATGGTTGACAATCCATTTTAAGCTTGATTACTTGAACAAGAGAAATTATTATTACTCCTAAAATATATACTAATAATTATTAACTTGGTAATTCAAAAATTTAAATGAAGAAGATAGCAGAAAATCATTCTCACAAATCAAGCAGAAATAAAATCTCGCATAATTACCACTAATAATATTTAGTAGAGATTCAAAATTATGGAAGCAATTTTAGTGTAATTTCAAGGTTTCAATTCATTAGCAAAGTATTCCAGTCATTCAGAAGTTAAATTATTTGATATATTTGTCTTAAAGAGAGTAATAAGAGGTTTACTAATGAAGAAATATGGTAAATAAAATGAACTGAATTCCATCAAAAGAAACGACCGTAATTGAAAAGCAATCATCGAGGCTAATAGAGAGAATACTTTAACAGCTGGAAGTTATAGCTGAAAATTTAGAGCATCCAAATATTGAAATTTCAATTGTGAATAAATTACCAGCATGGATAGTGAATAAATTATACCAAGCATCTATAAGTTAGTCAGTAGTTGACAGCAGTTGACAAGATTAGTACTAAGAAATGAAGAAGTGAAGCTAGGAGTCAAAAGCGGGCGGACACAAAGGAGAAGAAAGCAAACAAATGCAAATGTTAGGGATGAAACCTTAGTCTTAGCAACAATCAAAGAGATCAAAAAGAGTTCCAGAAGAAACTCCAATTGGATAGAAAAATGTATTTTACAATACGAATCACTGGAATGTAACATTCATTATCTCACACTCATATATATTTACTTTGATAGCTGGAAGTTAGTTATAGGTGAAAATTTAGGACATCAAAATTTCAATCCAGAAATATCGAAATTTCCGGATGAAATATTCTTTTAAATGTCTTCAAATAAGGCATTCAACAAATGATTGCAAAAAAAAAAAAAGAGACATAAAGCTTCCCTTGTAAAGATCCACACAATACTATGTGCTGGAAGTTATAGGTGAAAATTTAGAACACCAAAATATCAAATCCACAAATATCGAAATTTCCGGATCAATTACTCACGCAAACAGTGGATTTCAACAAAGAAAAACTGAATTTGGTGACAATCGCTGATTATATTACCGAAAAAGGAATTCAAAACAAGAAGCGAATCATACTATTATGTAAGGAAATAAATGTAAACAATGCAAACCGACCAGAAATTCAACAAAGAGCTTTTAGCTCTAATTGATATTGCTTCTGCAATTATCGTTCATATGTTCTTTTTGATTGAATCTACAAGAAATCAAAGAAATGAAGCTAAACATTTCCGGATGGAATATTTTCAGGAAAATCACTGCAATAATACCAAAATATGAGATTTGACAATGAGATATCAAAAATGTGTTTTACTGCTAAAATCAAAATCGGAGTAAAAAGAAATTAAAG